GTACACAGGAAGCAGCCAGAAAAGATGTTTGGGCAGAAATGTCATCCAGTTCAGTGAATGAGTCATCTTTCATGACTCCAGTCAGTGACTCAGATAATCCCTATATCAACTTGGGAGCAAATTTTCAACAAGTACAAGTTGGGTAACACCAAAGGGAACCTCAGACATCCGAGAGAAAGCTATAAATGAACACAAAGCTCCAGCTGCTATCAGCTGTCCTACACCACAAACTTATTACAGAGACCTCCCCAACTCCCAGAGTCTAGTTCTCTTACTGCTGAAGGAGAGCTATAAAAGCATTTTCATTCATTCAACTGTCCCGTACAATTACTTTTCCCTCCAAGGAGCAGATTAAGAATATATTTTAGGTATTGGTGTTTTGGAGAAGCACAAGAAACATTAAGAGCAATGGTTTTCCTTTGCATAGAAACAAACTCCGTTTTTCTCTCGAAGTTAATCTCAGTCAAAGCATGTTTCTTCCTATGAGAGATGGCACCGTCTTATCAGAACCTGAGTTGCAAGACAGGCAACTGTGATACCTGTTCTCTGGGTGGGGAAGGAGAAGCAGCACCATATATGCTCCTGGCAAACAAGAAGAGAGGGGCCTCACTGTGTAAATCTGTCCTCCCTGCAGAGCATCAGCCAGATCTGGAGCTAAAGGTTTGGGCTTTGGGAGATTACACTCTTCCTGGCATGCAGGGAAGCATGGACTCTCAATAGCCACATGCAATATTATCTTCTCCCCAAACTCAGTGTTAGGAGCAGAAAATCATTATCTGGCTCAGCTATTTTCCCTTTACAAAAGCCCACAGCAAGAATGACTGTTTTAATTGGGAAGCTAAAGTCCTACCTCCTTTTCAGACCTCAGCTCCTAGCACAAGGATGCCAATGCTTTACCAACCAGCCCAATTAATATTCTCCTGCAGAGCTCAGAGGCATTGAACTGACAATTCTCCTCTTAAAAAGCCACACAACACTCCCAAAACTTTATTCTGATTCTCTTTAACATGTAACACTTTTCAACATCTCAACAAGAACACACAGAAATAAACTGAGCTCCCTAAACATCAGAGATCAACACTAATGCTTTGAAGCCTCATCCTTCTTGTTCCTGGGAGTTCTCCAGAGAAGCGCAACATAGTTGCAGAGACTGCACACTATCACCCTCCTTTTATGCAGAGAGCACAATTAATTGGCAAGATGCTACCCTAAAAGCAAAGCAGCAATTTTTTTCTTCCCCCACCCAGTAGATTTGGGTGGGGAAAAAAAACCAGAAACCAAACGCAAACAAACAAAGCATGCATCATCTTATTTTTCCATAAAAAATACTCGCCCAGATATTCCCCAAGCTTTGAAGGTGTTTAGCTCTCTGCTGGGAGCACTCACCACTTGGAAGTTCTATGCTCGTTATCCTTGAAGGAGGAGACAAACCTGCATGGTTTTTGGCTACAACGGTAATTACACAGTCATTTTTTCCAAGTTTTTATCTCAGTACTGTTTGAGGGTTCAGTGACTTCTTTATACTCCAATGGTGTCTCTAGCAGGTAGCAGGACACTTCATGAGACACTATTTTTCCATTGGCTTCAGAAAGGGATAAGGGCTATGAACAGACAAAGAACGCATTAAAACCAAAATGAAATAAACAAAAGGAGACATAGGATAATATGAATTTAATGTCCTGACCTAGTCTGATGAATGTATAGGACTACAAGGCAGAAAAGACAGTTACTCAAGCGTGACTTTGAGAATTAACACAGTTCGTAAGTTCTGTGTTCTAAGTTTTTCATTTTCAGCTGGAATGTATTAAAAATGTAATTCTTCATGTGGAATGCTTCTCAATACGATGTTTAAATTATAAAACTTCAATAATATTCTAATTTGAGGAAAAATATTTATCTCAATGGGTGGTTCTATAAAAAGTTAAGAAAAGCAATCCAATTTATTGACTGTAAACTTCACTCATTTATAAATGTGTAAAAAAAAGTTTTTTCATAGAGTTAGATTATATATTTTAAAACTTTAAGTGTCCTATCTACCTTCCAGAAGATTTTTAGACTTTTTCCAGAAGGACTTCTCTCTCTCCAGATATCTGGTCCTGGGGGGTAGCTTTTTAGATGGCTAATTTTAAAACATATGCCTTCACAAGTTCAACATTTTATCATCAAAGAGTTAAATAAACTTACAGGCTTCCAGTGTTGTGTGCTCCTCTATCCTGCTCCAGTCACTCCATCTCCAGAAGTGGTCAGCAGCCGAACAGCGCACCCTGAACTGGTATTTGGTATATGGGTGCAATATGTTCAGCTGAGCCGTGTAAGTTGAGAATTTTCCACCGGGCACAGAGACATTGTGCTGTTAAAAATGTATGGAATTTGACATGATACTTATATATTTTTTGCTCCTAGATTATGCTGAAAGTCAATGCCTAAAAAAGGTGATATTTTTCCCCAAGAATATTGACAGTGTGAAAAAGAGCTGCAGTCAAGCCCTACAAAGAAATTAATGAAAAAGGAAAATATTTCCTATGCAGTCACCCTAAACAAAGGAAAAAATTTCAGAGGTCTGCCAAAATAAAGTCATATATAGCACAGAAATTGAAATATCACAGTAGGTAGCACTTTTGAGATGTAAAGCATGAAAAGGAGAGATAACACTGATGAGCCTTCAACAGGATGAGTTCTGCACACAGTAGCAGACTGCTGCTTCCCATCTAGTCTCCCTCTCTCCCATGAGCAGCAAAACTTCTGCTCACATGAGGCAGGCCAGGATTTCACCTCTGGTATTCAGAACCTGCACTTCCACTGTGCACATGCACATCAAACTGAGTGGACAAAGGCCTTTTTCCTAAGATGTATGCACAGTCCATCTGAACAAGATGCTTATCATGAAGCCTTCTTCCTAAGCAGTCCTTTTTCCTTCAAAAGATAGTATCCAAGTCTTACCCAGGTGATCTCTGTTCACAGCTCTTATTGTAGGACTAGTCTCTCCTGTTATTCTTAAAACAGTGTGAGTCTAGGGAGTATTTCAGTTTCATAACTACTTAAAGAAGCCCTAAGCCTGGGAATATTTTTTACTGAATCTAATTATAACACATGTGCATCACAGCTGCCAAAACCTGGACTCCAAGTGACTTTAAGCTGCAACTAATTGTGCATTTCTAAAGCCAAATGACAACTTGAAAAATATCAAAAAAGCCAACAATCTCTCATACATATGGAAAAGCTTCTGAAAACATCCTCAAAATGCCATGTAAAACCCCATAACAATTTCACAGCTACTTTTGTTTATTACAGAGAACTCTTGGGGTTTTTTTTTATTAAGCAACCAGAGACAACATAACAATGCTGTAAAAACTTCTACCAAGCTGTTTGCTGTGTTTCAAAGTATCTGTAACTGAGGACTCTGATACAGGTGCAGTGAATCAAACTGCTGTGGCAGCGTAAGACCTTACCATCTCCCACTGCCCCAGATTACTGACCTGGTAGCAGAGTTCACAAACAAGTATGTGCCCGAGGCTTCAAGCAGCATAACTGTGGATAGAGCTGTGCAAACCTACTTTTTTTAGCAGTTTAAGCTAACTGAGCTGAGAGTGTTTGTTTCCCCTGCTGACTGCTCCAGAAGCAGTAACTGTTGGGAGCAGAGAAATGCAGACAACTGTGGTTGAGGGTATCTCAGACTACTACACCAAAATCCAACACAGCTCATCTGTCAGAGCTGTTATTTACATCTAAAAGCCAGTTCCTTCTCCTGTTAATTCCCAAGATATCTATAGTTTTCTTTGCAGTGCCTAATATCTGGGTATTACTTAACACATGCCATTACGGATAAAATATAAAAGCTTAAAGCTTCCACACTCTGTAAGTGCTTTGAAAGTATTTTAAAAATACTCTTATAGAGCATGCAGTAACTACCACCCTGTTATTTTAGGGACGATGTATATAATGATTACGTTCAATCATCTTAGCTGCATCACTTCTGTGGCTTGAGGGACTTCATTCAAATGCCCAACATGCAACTAAATGCAACTGGGTAATAGAATACTCCTGCTAAAAATCAAACTGAGGAACAAGCATTGTGAAAAGCAGCCTCTGAGGTTAATGCGTTCAAATTACAAATTCAGGCTCTGCGCACCAAGACCTGGTAATTCAGCATGTGCCTACCTGAGCTGGTCAGAGATACTCCATCTGAACACGCTAACACAGAATTTGGGGGTAAACCTCAGGCCAACTGAACATGCAGTTCTGCTATTAGGCTTCCCCAGTGACACAGATCACCCCCACGCTAAGTTAGGCAATACGGAAGAAGAGCATATATTCACACCACCTACACTCAGTATCTGATGCTGGTGTCCAAATTAGTATCCTAAGCTCTCTGACAGTCAGCAGAATAAGTATGCGGCTCCAGTCGGTGATGCAGAGCACCAAAGCCGGGGAAGCGGCTGGAAGCCTGAATGCTGGAAAATCTGAACCCCACCCAGAAATACCACCTTCTCTCCAGCTGCAGAGGTCTTCACTAGGGATTACCCACTGATATGCCCAGTGGGAGAATTCTTCCCTATCCTGTCTCTACATCACTGACATACAAGCAGGTTTAGCAGCTCCCTATTACAGCCACATGCATGTCAATTGCTGGCAGCAAACAAATGAACTGTTCTTTGGGGGGAGATGACACATGGACAGATGGACTCAACTACAGACTGCAAGAGGCAATCCAAAACAACCGCTGTAGAAGTCTGCAGGGCAGCAGCACATCCTGGAACAAGCGTGTGTTAATACAGTTTGCACCAGGAAGGACAAAACACAAGGACTGTTACCTAAAGTGTCAGCATAAAGCATGATGCACCTTCTCCAAGTACCAAATAACATGGTGGGTGATTTGACTTTCCACTAAATTGTTTAAAACTAACAAAAAAAAGCAGGCAACAACAGAGATGAGCAGAACTTTTTCTGATTTTAGTAGATGAACTTCCAGTCATTACCACATTAATCATTTAATAAGATGATCAGAATGAAGCTCTTAAAAGAGAAAAGAATTTGAAATGTGATTAGTTCAGTGAAAAAGATCAACATTTGAGCCAAAAAAAATTCCATTAAAAGCAACACTTACCAGTTTTTGCTCAGAGTGACCACTGCTAATTTCAATTTGACACAGAAGCCTGATGTCAGCAAAGCTGCCATTTATAAACCAACACAGATGGATGCTTGTAGAGCTGTTCCCAGAAACAGTTAACTTTTCTGGATTTTTTGGATGAACTTAAAAAATAAAGAAAAACCTCTCAGTTCTAAGAAAAAACCCATTCATTTCAGTTCAGAAAGATCTGGTTTTAAAAGATTAAAGAGAATCAGAAGGATAAATAATCCAATCAGCAACTAGGACAGCCTGGTGCTGGAAGGCACCTGCAAGCAGTCTCATTCCTGATGCTCTTCTCATCTATCAAACATGGGAACAGATTTACTTAAGGCTGAGTGTGATAAGGAGTTAGAGATACAGAAAAACACTTCCCCTCCTACTGACTTTATCAAAAAAGTGAAACGTGGGCTATTTCAGAGGACCACAGCAATGGATGAAATTCACCCAACTTTGTTCACCTTTTGGGAACTTTGTAAGTTAGAACTTAAAATCTGCAGACTAGGACAGGGTAGGACTCCCAAATGACCTCTCCCTCCCCAAAACTCCCTTCATGGAACTTTTCAATGATATTCAGTACTACTATTTGTAGCTATCAGAGAAAAAAAATCTCTGCTGTTGGAATTGGTCCAGTTACCCTTAAGGAAATAAGTACTCTATGTTGGGAATTAAGTGCACAGTGAGGGAAAGAAAGGAAAGGAAACAAATAGGAAATAACAGTTGTATTGACTGGGTGCAAAACAGCCCAGTTTATAATTAATAGAAACAAATTATGCTTTTCTAGGACCTGTCAATTTACTCTGACAATTCTAATCTCAGGCTAGATGAACTGGGATATGGGCAAAAAAACTGCACCATCTTCAATTTCAAATTCAGTTTTTCAGAGAGAACAGCAGAATGCTGTAACCATTAGGAACCCCTGAACCCTCAGCTGTGGTTGTGGAGGCAGATGGAAAAGGACAGGGAAGACAGCACCAGAAATGTGGTCATCTTCTCCTTTTCCTTGTTTATACTAAAGGTCTAATGAAAGAAGTTATTTTTTTCTACAAGCCACGAGAGCAGATGATCATGGCTCTTACACCAATAGCAGGTAATACTCCTGCTATTACCTTTTACCTTTTAGTGCTACTTTTTTTATGCTCCAAATCCTGCTGTTGTAAACCTGCATAATATTTTGCCCTATAAGCAGACACTGAAATACAGGGTCACTCACAGTTCATAAAGTTACACCTAAATTTTAATTATCGATGTGTAACAGAATATGAAGTAATACATAAACAGCAGCTGGCTAATTATTAGATCACAAGTAGCATTTATCCACACAGCAGTGTATCCAATCTGGTAGCACTGCTGTGGAGAACTGGCATCTCCCTGTACACCTAATTGTTGCTTCAGGACATGTCCTAAGCTATTTTCTTTTCAAGTTGAAATTACTGAACATGGCAAAACACTGGTGACAATAAAGCAAAATAACAACAAGTACACCATGTCAGAGTTCTTCAAACCCAAAACAAACAAATGGTTAGCATGCAGTAAACATATCTTTTTGCCTTTGTAATTCTTAAGTACTTACCTCTCTGAGTTAAATCAATCAAAAGCGATGACTCTGTTTGCCCGATAGGATTGGAAACGCCTAATATGAAATCATAGGTTTTTTGATCAGCCAATACTGGAAAGCCACAGACACGCTCTCTGTTCATTTCATTTACTTCCCATGAAACATTTTTACCAGATATTCTACAAAGTAAAAAGTGGGGATGACACAACTTAATTTTTTTGATAAGATAATTTCTAGGAACAGTCAGAAGTCTAGACTGAACACACAGTAAAGAATGATGGGTTCACTGACACATGGCTTACAGAATGATTTGATTGCAGAGGCATATCTAACACCACAACACAGGTTAAAGTGGCATCAGTCATGACTTGCCCTGTTCTCATGTGAAACTCCTCTTCCACTAGCATAACATTTCCATCCTCTCGCTTCTCAAAAGCCTGGAAAAGAGGTAGGTCCTGTAAAACCACCTCACAAGTCACAACTAAGATTCTTATTTAAAGTATCTTTGTTCAGATCAGCATACATTTGCATTTAAAGAATGTTCTTAATTGCTTTCTGAACTAGGGAGATGCAACATGCATTACATCTTTCTGTCAATCCTACCAAATCTAAACTAAGGTTTATTACCTGGGATACATCCACTAGTCCTAGCCGTTTTTAAATCAAAAGCAGGAGAGGCAGTCTGGTAACAGCCAAGACCAGAGTTACATCTTTAGGGGTAAAATCCAAAGTGTATATCTGTATGTATGTACATATGTAGAAGTTGCTTTAATTACAGTCTGCATAAACCTCTCATTCAGTAGCACAAGTTTAATTTCTTCCTTCGGGCATTTTTATTGTGTTCTAGCTGAGCTCTGAGCTCTCTTCACACCATACTCTCCATTTCAATAGCTCAGCGTGGCCTGAGAACAAGGATGAGAATATTTACCCTGAAATGCATCATATTCATCTCCTCACAGCTTTAGGCTGAGCAAAACAAGTCTGAACTACATCCTCATTTATGAGCTGAATATGGGCAGTCAGTGACTGGAGCTCCTTTCCTTTGAATACCTGCTCTGTTTTGTCCACCTCTTTGCACCTTACCCACTTTTTTAGCACTAGCATCCTGGACGACACGTGTGACCATAACTCCATCCTCATTCCCTCTGACTTGCTTCAAAGCCACCATGAGACTCTATTTCCCATCAGTTTGTGTGACTCAGGCCTCTCCTGGCTCCCTTCCCTGACTGCTCCTTTGGCATGATGGGTAAGCCTCCTTGCCATAGGAATTTTGTTAACTCCTCACCAACTTCTGATCACAACTACCAAGGAATCCCATTTGCAAGTGCTATTCCAAAACAATGATTCTTTGCTTTTAAGGCTTTGCACGGCCTAGAATGTAAGACAAACTAGTGGAATATCAGCCTTCACTTCTTTCTGTGGATGATGCCAGTGTTATTTGTCCCTTTCAATGTTTTCCAGGTAACATGCACTTTGCCTGCTCTACACTATCTAGTTCTTGATGCTGGGAGCAGAATGGGTATAGGCTTATTACTATTTTCCCTAGTAGCATTTGGGTGATGCCCCATGGCCTGTCTTACAATTGTTCCTCAGTGAGTTTCTGTCATCCTGCATAGCAGAAGCTCAGTAAATGTCTGACAGATGAGCTGACACAGGTTGCATATAAAAAAAAAAAAAAACAGTGAATGAATCCCACCATCTCCCTGTATTCTCATATTCCTATCCACATGTTGGCAGCAGTCTGACACACTTAGCCCTTTATTTTGTCATAAGTCCATATGGCATAAGTCTTTGGGAAAAGCTACCCTTAATTCCCATTGCAATTTTGCAGAACTAGACTAGGGTTCTCCAATTTTGTTTTTGGAGTTTAGTTCCAACTTCCACAAACTCTTGAAAAGTACTTTAGGCTCTAAACAATGGAGACTATCTCATTTAAGCAGGCATGGTGCAGCAAGTCACAGGCAGCAATGGATATACTCCAGTTCTACCTTTTTACTCCTTTTAGTGCTGAATTGTTTTACCTTTCAAATAAACTGTACTTTGTTCTTCATTTTCCATATAGTCCACTGGATCTTCCTGGTTTCCAGATGCATTTTATTATCAGGAAGTTGGACGTTTCACAGCTGAGGTTTTGGGGAATATCAGGGGCATCTGTAGCATGAAAGGAAACCAAAACAGTTGATGTTTTGCCATCCTAGTGTGACAGTTGGGCTGCTAGCTCCCTGAAAGCGTCACCATTCATTTCTGCTGAGACTGTGTGCCTCACAAATACATGGTAATAGTCATGCTCCAACCATATAAATAATATGCTTCAAAAAAATCCCAATAAAACAGATGGATAATTATTATCAGCCCCATCTGACTCTAGGCTTCTAAGTGGGTGGGTAATCTGGTAAATCACATGCAAATATGTTCACAAGCTCCAGGCTCTGACCTGGAAGTGTTTCACTGAAACTCTGCCAAGACTTTTCCAAATTCTGAGTGTCAGTTTAGCTGCTGAGCAATGTAGGAATGCTGTCGGCTGTGCGTCACATTTTCTTACATGCCAGCCCCACCACTGCTTTGAATTCTCCAAGCAAGTCATGTCAAGGAGATGTTCCCTTTAGCATGAATTCCACCCTGAATTTGAAAGTTAAAGCAAGCCCCAAATGGCTCGTCCTCTTCACCATTGCTTTGGAAGTTCCCATCTTTTTCTTTTAAATCTTGTTCTTTACTCCCATACTAGAGCGGTGTTGAATGCCTTCCTGGAGAAGATGGACAGTGCTCCCAACAGAGAGGGTAATCATGCTAACGTGAGACTAAGCAGAGCACTTATTTCAAGTATCATACACTTTTCCCCAAAAGGCAGCACAATAATATCCGTGTAGCTGCCCTGGAGTAGGGGCACTAATACAAGAGGCCACAGTGGCAGGCTTAGTTCAGATTATGAGCAGCAGGCCAAAAAGAACATTTCTTTTGCCAGACCTGGGCTTAACCAAGGTGGTGCGCATACACATTTACTTCTTCTACCTTTTCTTACCCAAATGTCTCTCCATCAGCAAGAGCATCCTGACAAGTCCCCTTCCCACTAAGTAGGTACCACAAGAAGAAAGAAACACTGGCAGGAAACAGACTTCACCACATCCCAGCTCTTCAAAAACCACTGTATGGGAAAACCCCATGGGATTATCACAGCCTTCGTTCATGAACCACTGACTTATTTACCTGGAAGGTTCTCCCATAACAGCAAATACTGCACAAATAATGTAAAAACAGCATCTCACTGAGAAGTCATAAAGGGTTGGATTCTGTTTTGCATTTTCTATCACACAGTTAATACACAAAATCAATGACAGGAGGCACAGGCTGGAGTTGGGAACACACTTTCAAAATGAGTCCGGTCTTTCCTCTCCTTTCCCTCAACCCCAAGGACCCTAAGTTCAAAGGTAGGTGTTTGTAATGGGAAACAGGATTCTAATGGGCAGCTATTGGAATATGATAACTCTCAAAACCCCTGTGGGGAAAACACACAAAGCACTGAAGTGACCAATTACAGGAAAGAAGAACCAGGTACTTTCAATAGTTTGTTTTAAGAGGTATCTGTATCTGGAAGATATTTCTGAGGCTGGCATGGTTACACAGAGAAGATACGTGATGACTCAGTATCTTTAAAGAAAATATTAAAAGAATGTTTAGAAGATTTTCCAGGAAAGATGAATTGTCAGGCAGGTTTCTTTGCTGTAATTAGCTCCCAGGGAGCTACTGCCCTGGATGAGCATCTGTTGTTGCTGCAAGTCTAACTGTTTTATTGTCTTCATTTGACTGGTTGGTAAATGAATGTTTTCACTTACAATTCTTGCTCTTACTCTTGCCTTGTCAAGGACCAAACTGTAATAATGTAAACCTAAATTGATAGAGACTGAGGATGAATCTTCACATGGCAATAAACTACTAAGTATTCCAGATCATGAAGAAGTGCCTTAAGAGAAGAGATCAAGGAGAGAAGCACTGGGCCAGGTTCTAAGAGAAGAGGTGCTTACATGGGTACCTCCTCATCCTCCCAGCCCTGGTGTCTTCTCCATGTGCTGGAGTTTCTATGGTGAAATCGGTCAAACAAGTAAAATCCCAGTTCATCCTCAGAAACCAAAGGCCAGGAAAAAAAAA